GGGTAAACTCCGCCAATCTTTCCAAAATTTCTGAGGGCAAAGCATGCACGAGGATGCTGGGATATGTATAATTTTCTGGTAGATTCCTGACCTTGACTGACTCGTTCCTAGTTCTATTTCCTATTGGCGACTTTAGAGCCCAAAATAGGACGTTTGACGTGCAAGATTGACAACGTTCTCTATTCCATTGAGGGATTGCCCGCTATGTTGCTCAGATTTTCTGTTCTCTGGACATTCTCACAACCTCGTCGATCGCCTTAGCTGTACGTGCCACGTTATCCTCGCTTAAGCCAGAGACATTGATGCGTCCTGACCCAGGTAAGTGAATGTGGTATTTGCTAACCAACCTATTGCATTGGGATGGCGACAGTGCTAAGCATCTGAATCATTTAATTAGAAGACAACCACTGCCGTTGACAAGGAAACTGCTACTTACGAGAAGAGCCCCCTTTCATTGAGGAGATAAGTCCAATCTCCTGGGGTCTGCATCAAGTCAGACAGGCATTTTCTCCGCGCGTTTTGAACCGGAGTGAGAGCGTACCTTGAGCACATTCACCAATTCGTCGTGAAGAGCATGGCGGTTCCTGTCAAGCCGCCGCCTCATACCACCCAGCTCCATGATCCTAATGAGTTAATCAGCTTCGCACTTTGAGCTTTCGTGGTGATGCGGACCCACCAGGCTTTCCGTAGGTCATTGTCATCGAGCACAGTCTTGACCAATCGGCTTCCATAAGCTGGGGGTGAGGAATATGTGTAACGTATCAGACTCCGCAGTCTGTCCTGAACATTTGACGCAACCTCGCTCGAGTCTGCCACCACGTGGAGGGCTCCGCATCTCTCCCCATACAGCGCGAAGTTCTTGGAAAAGGACTGGCAGACCAGCATCTCCATGCCCGCTTCCACAAAAATGCGAACACCCGCCGCGTCCTCGTTCAAACCATCACCAAGCCCTTGATAAGCACAATCAAAGAACGGCAGATGGCCATGCGCCTTCATCTCGGAAGCCAGCTCTTTCCATTGCTGGGTACTCAGATCGACGCCAGAGGGATTGTGGCAGCACCCCTGAAGGATAAAGATGCTAGCCGGCGGGGCTGTCCGCACGGCGGTGATAAGCGCAGAAAAGTCGACTGCATGCTTAGAAGAATCGAGGTATTGGTACGTGATCGTCTCCATATCAATGTTTTGAAAGATGTCGAGGTGGTTCCCCCACGTGGGAACGCCGACGTAGACCTTGGGCTGTGATTGCCATGTCTTGGCGATCAGTAGAGCGCCCAGCGCATTGGCTCCAGTGCCGGAGATGGTCTGAACGGACGAGATCTACCATCGTGTCAGGAAATATTCATGAGTTGAATGGAGAGAAACATGATTGAAGAGCGAACACACCCTGCCGGATCTCAATGCCCGGCAATCGTCTCCGAATATCAAACTGGCGGCAAGCTTGAGGAATTCTGCATCTCCTGTCGTTGGTCCATACTGTATAATATTTAGCCTGATAGCCTGAAACTAACAGATGCATACAAGACGACATACATCGTGTCCTAAGTCGGCGCGTTCGAGCTGCCTTTTAGCCTATGAATTGGTTAGCTAGGTATTGAACACTAGCATAAGCTGCGATGAACTGCAAGTTTGACCTACAAGCTTGACAACCTCCAACTCTTGGTAATTGCAGGCCTCATTTCGGTAGATGCCAACACCCAAATCTACTTTCTCGGAGTTAAGATCGTTGTCCGCGTCCTTTTTCAGGATGAACATCGGGTCCAGGGGACCTGGTCGAATGTGTCCAAACATCGCGACTTAGGTGATTTCGTGTTGAAACCGTATACGTACGCTTCTTAAGCAGTATATAGGCGGTCCCTTTGTAAAGTGGTAAACACTCAAAGACCTAGCGTCAAGAAAATTATATAAAAAAAAACAATGCCGATACCAGCATGGAGACTTAGCCAGCTATTTTGGCAAGAAAATATTTACCAAATGTAACAGAGAGAGAGAGAACTGTTTGCCTTCCAAGATATTATTAGCTTCGGTAGTTGTGTCCGAGATGACGGCACAAGCTCCCGAGCCCCACTTTCGACGTGCTGGCTTCGGCAACGAATACCGAATCACGCGGGAACGGCAACCGAGGACACTCGAGCTGGTGTTTATTTTGCTGGTGATTCCCATTCGGAAATTGATGACTTGTTCAACTTGGTCACAACGCGTTGATGATATCGTCAAAATGGCTTCCGTCATTAGGAACAATTTGATGCGGCTCAGCGCTGCCGGCAAGCTCTGTACAGTGAGTAAACCAGAATTCCAATTCTTTATCTCAGTCTTCTGATTCCCTGGGGTCGCATGAATCACTGACGGACCCAGGCCATGGGCATCCGGCTTGTAAAAAACACGCAGGTTGTTCACTTGGCGGCCAATGCAGGTTTTGACGCTCTTTTCATTGATCTGGAGCACTCAACACTATCAATCGAGGATTCGAGCCAACATTGCATAGTGGCGCTGCAGCTAGGTATCACACCATTCGTCAGGGTTCCTTACCAGTGCGGCAACGGCTTTGTGCAAAAGGTATTAGATGGCGGGGCTATGGGAGTGATTTTCCCTCATATTCGCGGTCGAGGTAAGATTTGCTGAACCTAAACCACGGCAGGATCGGGATGCAATACTCACAAATTGAGAACAGAGGACGCACGAGCGGCTGTGTCGATTTGCAAGTACCCTCCCCAAGGGACTCGATCCATCACCGGACAACTACCGCTCTTCTCTCTCAAGGCGACACCGCAAGAATCAATAATGTCTGAGACCAACGCTGAGGGCTCCAGCGTCTTCTTGATGATTGAGACGAAAGAAAGCGTACAAGATATCGATGACATAGCATCGGTCCAAGGCGCGGATGTCATCTTGGTCGGCTCGAACGACCTCGCTATCGAGCTTGGAGTTCCAGGCCAGTTCAAGACCAATATCTTCCGGGAGGCCTTGGAGACGGTCAGCAAAGCCTGCAAAAAGCATGGGAAGATTTTTGGCTTGGCAGGTATTTATGATGATCACGACTTACATGACTGGGCTATCAATAGATTGGATGCTCGTTTTCTTCTCGGCGGGCAGGACTCGGCGATACTGGCTAGAGGTGCGAAAGAGACCATGGCAGCTATTACTAAGATACCTACCTATGCTTCCTGAAAATAATAGTCTGACGCCCTCTTGATCACAATATTCTGGTCCGGCAATCGTCACAGCATCCATCATATTTCAAATGCCACGATATATCGCTTCAAAAAAAAAAAAAAAAAAAAAAAACAGACGATCGAGTATACTATGTAGACACCGACTTCGGCCATGTGTAGTGATTGTATCCGCTGCTTGACCATCACACTATACGTGAAAGTTTGTTCCAAACAGGCTACCACGCTCGGACAGTGTAGTTCAGTAAGAAATTGATAAAAGGGTTGCCAAAAGAGCGGCAGTTCCGCGGCCCTTTCCGAACAATGTTTGTGTGGCGTTTCCCTAGCTATCTTGCGTAGAATTTGCCTGAGTATCTTCACCAGCCTCCCCCGTTGAGCTCGCGGTCGTGGTTGAATGTGAAGTCGGCGGAGTGTAAGAATACATCGGCATGGGGGTTGAAGTAGCAGTCGAATCGGCGAGAGGGTTGACATCAGTTGGGCAGTAATAGCCAAAACACTCAGATGTAGTTCCGGAGCCTTCGTAGACATATCTGTCGAAGCTTTCTGCATGTGCGTGGATGATGTCCCTGTCGCAGTCCCATACCACTTCGGTGGTAATAAGAGGTTCTATCGATACTGTGAGGGTCACAGTCTGGTCGGAAAGAGGTCTAACAGCTTCGGCCCGACACATAAGGTTGCCCAGCAGCCTCACGGAGTAGCTTGAATCTCCAATAGTGTGTGGAATAGGCCCAAACTTCGACACAAAGTCATATACTCTGATAACCTGATAAGCAACTAAAATGAGACAGAAAAGTTGAAGTTAGCTGAAGCGCTTACGAAGGACAACAATATGTCGCCACTATTTTAATGCCATCAACGCTGCGCAAGACACGAGTTGACGTGACTGCTGCTGTCATGCCTACGGGGCAGTTGCTGAATGCCATTGCCGGGAGATCAAGATACACCCATTGATAACAGCTGGACTCCACGACACCGAAGGTCTTTGGGGATCCCAGCAATGTGACGGGACAAGCGAGGGAAGTCAATGTGGCGTCTGGTTCCGATGAAGATGCGCCATACTCCACGTAACAATCCACGGAGGAGAGCCACAAATTGGAAGGTGCAAAACACGCCGAGTGTGGCTTGAACACCGTAGTTATCATGGTGAGGCCTGATGTGCTCAGTTTACGTGGAGGAACTGCCGGACATGCTGCAGGTAGGATGAGCATAGAATTCCCCGGAGACTTATAGCGATTGCAAGCATTTATTGGCTTTACCATGAACACCACCTGAGGGTATCACGAGTGCAGACTTGTTAGCCTTAATGGGCTGATGATAAGCTGCCAAGACGGATTCAAGGCCTTGGTTGACATGGTAAAAGGTGTAGTGTAGACAATCAAGAGTTTAGTACTGGATATAAGCCTATGAAAATAGGCATGGCATGTAGGGACAAATGATCGGTCAGTCCATAAAACTGATGTGCACACTTTACCTTCCTTTCTTACCCTAGACGGGGCGCTTTCTGCACCTGGGCATTGATCCTTCAGGAACTGTGTGTGCATCACGGATGCACGGCGAATTTTCAACAATAACAAAAGTGTGCTTCCCGCAAAGTTGGCATAGAGAGGCACAGTATCTCGTTTGGACTTGGTCAACTCGCACACATGTTCAGACAACTCAGTGGAACATACTTGGGGACACATCAAATTGAGATATTATACCGATAGGACTGGGGTCATTTTCGTCACTTCACTCCCACAGCAAGTAATAAAACAATTGTTTGAAAGCGTGTAGCCAGGAATCGATGGAACAAAAGAATAATTAACCTGTGCATGGAAACCAAGCAAAAAACAATGGACGATGCCGGAATCGAACCGGCGACCTTTCGCATGCTACTTGATAAGTGCGAAGCGAACATTATACCCCTAAACCAAACGCCCATTAGTCATGCATTTTGCTCGGGTTTGAGAAATATAATACCTACTTGCTTTGGCTGGGGTCGACAGGTAGTAATGATGAAATTAAAGAATTATTTCTTATGTCAAAGTCACGTAGATAAATGGTCCCGGAGTCGAGGGGGTGGAGGAAAGGATCTTAAGATGGAACACAAGCAGGAAGAGGAGACACTCTTTAGATCTACGGAAGTTGGTAGGGGCAAGATGATCACAAACCTAAGTTCACCTTTATGAGTTCAAGGTCAACTTATTGTATGTTCTTGCTCTGGATAAAACTCCCGGTTGGGAAAGACCGGGTACCTGGTGTGAGTCAGTGACCCATGGACACTTGTAGCTTGAACTGCACAAGTCTCCTCATATGGTACGTAGAATCTCAAAGCCCCTTAAGTATCGCGTCCGCAATCTTCTCAGCAAGCATATACACAGTAGCCTGCGGATTCGCGGGCACAGCAAACGGGAACGCGCTCGCATCCACAACACGGAGCCCTTCCACGCCAAACACCCTCGCCCGCGAGTCCACTACAGCCATCGGGTCCTCGTCTCCCACCTTGCCCATCTTGCACGTACCGCTGGCGTGCCAGACGGTGGATGCCGACTGCCGGATGTACGCCAGGATGTTCTCGTCGCTCGTAACACCTGACCCAGGGGCGAACTCGGATCCGACGCGGACGGGGTCGAGTGAAGGATCCGCCAGTGCCTCGCGGCAGCGCCTGAGCGCCGCCACGGCGACCTCGGCATCCGCTGAGTCCGAGACCCAGGCCAGGTCGAACACGGGGGCGTCTTTGATGCTCGCCGAGCTTATGGTGACGTTTCCGCGGGACAGGGGCGCCGTCAGGGTGGCGCTCACCGCGCCCACTGTCAGGGACCCGTTGCCCGAGGGGATGACGAACCCGAAGGGGATATACTGTACCTCTGGCCAGTCATCCGGGAAGGCTGCGAGCTTGTCCTTGGTCTCCTGGGAGAAGTTGGCGCGCAGGTCCTCGGGGATCTTCTCGAAGGAGAAGTATCCGCCTGCCTGGCTGTATGGCCCGGCCTGGTCGTCGTGGTACTGCTCCAAGGTCGCCTCCCGCACGGACGGGTCTGGAGAGTCCACAAAGGTGCCTGCTGTTGGCGTGCTCATTCCTTGGAGAACGCTGAAGGTTATCTGCTCCCACAGATTCTGTCCCACTCCGGGGAGATCCTTGATCACTGGAATGCCGAGAGACTGGAGCGTTGCGCTTGGCCCGATACCTTGAATCGGTTCTGCATTAGACGGAATCCATAGAATGGGTACTGTTTGGTTGCCTTTCACTTACCAGAAATCATTAAGAGCTGGGGAGAATGGAACACCCCCCCTGAGAGAATGACTTCCTTCCTAGCGATCAGCGTATATGCTGACCCTTGAGTTTCAACTGCCACACCCGTTGCTCTCTGTGCCGCAAATAAGATCTTCGTTGCCTGCGTGTGGGAGTACACTTTCACGCTGGCCTCCTGCTCTGCCGTCTCCAGGTAGCTCGTCTGAGAAGAAGACCGAGTCGCGTCTCGAGGGTCAATCGTGGACGAGGTCCACCCTCCCACGCCACTGATCGACCCGCTGTTCAAGCCCTTCGGCGCAGGCCCCATCCCAATGCCCTGCAGCGCGCGTGCAAGCCACGAGGTCGTCGGATCCACCCAGTTGCCAAAGGACACACGCAGCGGCCTCTCCCCGGCGGTGGTATCATCACCGGCGGCAAATGCATCAGCGTCCCAGCTCGGCGTCGCGTTGGGGGCATTGCGCTTCTCCAAGTCAGGAGGCGTGAGCTGACAGCCCGCCTTGAAGAACGGCAAGACGCTGTCCCACACATAGCTCTCGTCGCCGACCTCCTCAGCCCACCGGTCGTGCGTGCCCTTGGACCCGCGGACGTACGCCAGAGTGTTGAGCGCCGAGCTCCCGCCCAGCGTCTTGCCCCTGGCGTAATGAACGGCTCGCCCGGCTGCGCCTTGTTGCGGAGCAGAGATCAGGTCCCAATCGACCAGGGGCTCGCGCTGGTACGTGGCCGGGTCCGTCCCGAGGACCGGCATGTTCAGCGCGTAGTAGGGCACCACGCTCTGGTTGCCCGTGTCGGCCTGGTATGAGCCCCCCGCTTCGATTACGGCGACGGAGAAGTGAGGGGCCAGTCGAGCCGCGATGGCGAGGCCGGCAGTCCCTCCACCGACAACTGTGAAGGTTAGAATGCGGTTTCGCGGATGTTTTCGAGATAAGCGGAGCCTTGCCTATGTAATCGTAGGTTGCATTTTCTCCGGTTAGGGGCATGCACTGGACCGTGGAGGCTGCGAGTACCGCAGCCCACAAAAGGCACGACAACATCGTGATCGGAGCTCAAAGTAGTTCGTGGAGTGAGTACAGACAGTCTGGACACACAACCGTTGTGGAGAGAGATTGTACAAGAATATATGAGGTTGTTATTCGGGCCCCAATAATATTACTCTACGCCACTAGCAGGGGCCCCTGAAAAACATCCAGGGACCCCTTCCTTACCGCTCCTTATGTGTTAGCACTCATCATCAGCCGAGTGTTTATCCAGTTTAGCGGTCAGCACTACAGTATTAAGATTTAGAACTATTCAATAACACTTTATAGTGCTGCCTAGAATATGGGAGTCGTTCTGACGCGTAGTGATTGTCTTCTAACATCTTTCATTTCATGCAAATTATCACTACGCAGAGTTTCTAAGTGATGTTTAACAATAGTCTAACTGGCTTCACCTGTGGTATTGAACTACGAATTCAAGATGTCGGAATTTCTTTTTCATTCACCTGTCCACCCTAGTTTTCACTTCTATCTGACCGAAATTACCATTCTCACAACCAGCCACACCCTGGCTGTGCTTATTGAACACATGCATTCAGAGTGATCGGTTGCCTTTCATGGTGAATACAAACGCATCATTTCTCGAGGGCCTAAAACACAGGAGGGCCTGAGAGTCGCGTGACGACATGCTTGACTGCGGTGTCCTGGACACTAGCTACCGATGCGTAAGAAAGGTGGCCGGCTGGGAGTTGGCATGAGCAGGCGGGATTAGGCGCGCAGACTCCATCGCCCTGAACAAGAACACTGTTAACACGTCTTTTTGAACTTGGCAACACCTGCCAGGCATAGGACGAACTCACCTCGAGACAGTAATCGAGTACTTTCCCGCTTCTATCAAGTTCGTTGGAAAGCTGTGGGATGGTTTCGTTATTTGCAACCGCAGCGTCGACGAACAGCCCCGTGTTGTTGTCATTTCCGGGCTGTCCAGTGCCATTTACATTGGACAATTTGCCCGGCAAACGGTATGGATTACCGACCAGTACGACCGACTTGATAGCGTCTGCAGCCTTGCCGCTCAGTCGACCGACGGCTCTAAGCATCAGGGTTGCACCTTGAGAATACCCAAAGAGAGCATACTTTTGCTCAGGGCAGTCATGAAGACCTCTATTGATGGTGTCGATTACGAACTCCTCGCCCGAGGCTGTATCCTGCGCGACCCCGGCTGGGTATTGGACGGGAAGGCTGACGCCACCTGGCAATTGATCCAGGATGGTGTGAATCATCGGATAAAACATTGTAGAGACCCCTTGCGGCTCCTGTGTGCCACGGGCGTCGACCAGAACTGTTGATCGTATCACAATCAGCGTTCAAAGTGTCAGCGTGTGTAGATTGGGAACATACCGTAGGAATGACATCCCCCAGTCTCTAAGGGATCCGTGATATTGGCATGCGGCATCGAAAGGAACTGGCTGACTCCGCATCGGCATTCGAACGCTTGGAGTCTCATTGCATCGGTTTCATTGGGGGACACAATGGCACCAGCCAGTACGCTGGTCGACATCTGGGCCAGGGCCAGGGCCAACGTGAACTTGGTGGCGAGTTGAAACATTGTTGAAAGAAATGTGGCGAGAATGATCTTGGCAGTAAAAGAGTAAGACAGAGCGATATGTACGGGAGACGAGCAAGGTTTATGTCTTCGTCCACTGCTGAACGATGGTGGTCTCTGCTGCTTCGCTATGGCGCCGGGGTCACCGAGGACCGGCTATACGGAACTGGCGCTGATGGCTATACCAGGGTATGATCAACGAGACATTCTTTCATCTGTGAAAAGCCCACAGCGTAGCATAAATATAATATGGAACCTTTCACGAGCCCGGCAGGGGTCGTTCCATCGGACAGTGGACGCTGGGTAGGGCAACTTGAACTTGAGTGGGACCTTCAAGTTGTAGTGACCGTTAAGGGGAAATCCCCGTAAGCCCGCTGCAGTACGAGTCGGTACGAGTCGGTACGAGGCCCAGGCCAGTGGGCCATCACCTTCGCCCCAGTTGCAGAGCCACAGCCAAGATTGCGAAGTCTGTATTAATGACCTCCCTGCTAGTGCTATAGCTGCTCTTCATTATAATACAGTGATTGTCCATAAATCTTTTTGGAACTTGTCAGCTAGAATTCCAGCCCACGAGACCTTGTCAATGGCTTCTTGAAAGCAGTATTTATGGCCCAAGTGCTTGGTCGCGTTCGAAGAACAGCCCGACGTCATATTCATCAAGTATAACGAGCGGATAAACTGCGCCGCTATCCAATGTTCCTGATCTTGTCGCAAAGAATAAGCTTCATTCGAATTGCGCCCTCTAGCAAATAGGCCGATAAGCTGGGATAGGATACTGATGATATGCAATGGACCGTGCAGGTTGACATGGCCAGAGTGGTCGATCCTCGACACATATTCATCACTTATTTTGTAGTTGAGGAACGCTTCATCGCTTGGAGACAGGTCGTGATAGCTTGGGAATTTGTTGTGTGGATTTGCCATGTTGGCCAAGATTCCGGGGCGAGTACAGTTACCCAGGTAGAAAGGAATACTATAGCATGTGGAATCAACAAGTTGTTGGACCTCGCGTGTCACATCTCCGGAATGTATGTCGACCCGTGTGTTTGATGGATCATTCCAAGAAGGAGTAAGGGGTTTTGTGAGTCGGGACTTGGCTCGTTCGATGAT